AGGCTGGGCGCGGTGGCTCACGCCTGTAATCCCAGCACTTTGGGAGGCTGAGGCGGGTGGATCACCTGAGGTCAAGAGTTCAGGACCAGCCTGGCCAACATGGTGAAACCCTGTCTCTACTAAAAAATACAAAAATTAGCCAGGCATGGTGGTGTGCGCCTGTAATCCCAGCTACTCAGGAGGCTGAGACAAGAGAATTGATTGAACCTGGGAGATGGAGGTTGCAGTGAGCCGATATCGTGCCATTGCACTCCAGCCTGGGGGACAAGAGCGAAACTCCATCTCAAAGATAAACAAACAAACAAATTAATTAAAAAAATAAAAGGGCAAGCAGCAGCCCTCAGGGATGCTCTGCCTATGGAGTAGCCATTCTTTTATTCTTTTACTTTCTTAATAAACTTGCTTTCACTTTACTCTATGGACTCGCCCTGAATTCTTTCTGTGCGAGATCCAAGAACCCTCTCTTGGGGTCTGGATCAGGACCCGCTTCCTGTAACACAAGGGCGGGAGGCTCCTGTGTGGAAGGCAGGGAATCTGCTCTGAAATGAGAAGAGGCAGAGTGGTGGGGTGGGGGCTCACATGAGGGTGATTTCTTGGGACACTGGAGCTGGGGCACTGTGTGGGGGCAGAGGGGAAAGCAGCTGTTGTGGCTGGAGAAAGCCAGCAAAGGGAGGGTTGCTGGGGACAGGTAGGGGGGCCTGAGGGCCTTGGGAAGGAGCGTGGGCTTCATGCCAAGTGCAGTGAGGGACGCCACTGAGACTTTTCTACAGGGAGATAACTTGGTATGTCTTATGGTAACGAAAAACAACAACAACAAAAATCCCTCTGGCTATTCTTCTGGATTTCTGCAATATTCTACTTTCTTCTTTTTAAATTTTGAGACAGGGTCTTGCTCTGTGGATCAGGCTGGAGTTCAGTGGCACCATCACAGCTCACTGCAGCCTTGAACTCCTGGGTTTAAGTGATCCTCCTGCTTCAGCCTCCCCAGTAGCTGGGACTACAGGTGTGTACCACCAGGCCCAGCTATTTTTTTTTTTTTTTGTAGAGATGAGGTCTCCCTATGTTAACTAGGCTAGTCTCAAATTCCTGGGCTCGAGCAATCCACCCACCTTGGTCTCCCAAAGTGCTCGGATTATAGGCAGGAGCCACTGCACCTGACTACAATATTTTACACTTTTTAATGCCCTCTATGTCCTTAAAATAACAGCCTCCTCTCCTGGAACTGGTCTCTACTCCAGGACATCAACAAGGCCCTGACTGGAAAGCACATAAAAAAAGGGCAGATGGGCCTGGGCTAGTGGCTCATGCCTGTAATCCCAGCACTTTGGGAGGCCAAGGCAGGCAGATCACTTGAGGTCAGGAGTTCGAGACCAGCCTGGCCAACATGGTGAAACCCC